TGGCATTCAAATTCTTGAGGTAGGCAGCACTCTTGGGCCAACCATCAATGTTGAGGAACTTCTTCATGATGCCAGTGTAGTTGTGCAGATTTTCTTGTAGCTTCCTCTGTTCTGCCTCATTGAGCCTCAGGCTGCATGAAATAGTGGAGTTAGAAAGTGTTTGGAAGTTTGTAATTTTCTGTTGTGTATGTGTACATGACAAAATGTACCATTGAGCTGATGAGCTTCTTCCAGTTGATGGCTTGCTTGCCTTGAGTAGTGGTCCAGAACTTGTTGGTGCATAGGGTGTCACAGTACTGGAAGAAGTCCTCCCACTCATCCTTGTGAACTGCAGCCTTGTTGTGCATGTGGTTCTGGCCCCATGTGAGGATGTGAATGTTGTCTTCTGAGACTGTGTTCTGGATATGGAGAAAGGGTATTAGTTGGAGCAGGGACATCAAAAAAGTACATAAGAAAAAGAAAAACATACATCAACAATGTCACAACACCACTTGAAAGACTTCCCAGGGAAAAGCCACTGTGCAGTCTGAATGTGATGATTGCTGTCAATGATGCAGTACTCAGGCATCCCATCTTTGAGGATGCACTGAGAGGGAGGCAGCTCTTGAACAAGCAGACACTCCATTGTAAGAACGCCCATCTTGTTTATCAACATAGAGAGAACTCTGCATCCTCTAGTGGTCACCAACTGATGAGTGCCACTCTTTGTCATTTGGTTGATGTTGATTGTCACAGTGTTTATCTTCATGTGATCTGCACAGAGGACACCATAACACTTGAGCAGGGCCTCCTCAGGAGGCATGGAGAGCTCGTCTTCTGTGGGCTAGGAGGAGATGAATTAGTAAAGATTCTATCATGTACACATATATGATAGAAAGTCCTGCAGTTGTGGTCCATAATCAGCTTCACAAACAGCATGAAAAGCATACCTCCTTGCTTCAACAGCTCCTCATCAGTTGCCATGGCAGTTGGCTGGGTTACTTGCTCCTCTCTGGCAGGTCTTTTTTGGGCTGTCACATCAACCTGAAGAAAGTACAGGATTGGTGAGATTTATAAAGGACTACATTTCATTTGAAATCAAACACACTTACCTCTGGTGCTAAGAGCAAATCTTGTGACATCTCCATGATGGAGCTGGCTCCAGTGGTGCTATTTTTTTCAGCTTCTTGCTCTTGAGTCTCAGGTACAGTCTCCTGAGAGTCAAGAACAATCTTTGTTGATGAGAAGAAATCAGTTGTTCTATCACATACATGTACATGATAGATTACTTATAAAATGGTGGTTATAATTGATTATAAGAGTCAATATTCTTGAATAGAATGGAAATATGCAGTATAATGTAACAACTGGTATTACAATGGGACAACACCATGAAATGAAAGGATAGCATAAATTAGTTTTATTGTATATTTAAAATGATATTTCATCGTGTACATGTACACAATGAAATTGTATCTATTAATGTTAATAAGATTTCATCATGTACACATACACAATGGGATGGTGTGTACCAATTCAGTCAGTTTTGTCTTGTTCTTCTCCACCTCTGCCACACTTGCAAAGTAATTCTAAAGTGGAAGACACATGAATCAATTAAATCACACTACTTTCATTAAGGTGAGTTTTGGTGTCTTTGGGTAGCTGGGCAGGACAGGCGTGCCTTTGCTGCCTTTGTGGTGCTTCAGGTACCTTTGATGACAATAAAGGCATCATGTTTGTGGAAGATGCCTCAGAGAGTCAAGCAGTTTGAAAGGTGGGTTGTGGAAATACAAAGGTTTGTTCACTGGAGGAGTTGGAGGGTGCAGGTGTAGAACATACATCAGAGTCACTTTCATCAGAAACAAAAGCAAATGGGTCATCCTGCTCATGAGTGGGATGGCAGTGAGGTGTAAGTACATGGTCATAGAGTAGAGGTGCTGCCTTCTCTGCATGCGCCCTCTTCTTTGGACACTTCTGTGATTCAGGGTGGTAGGTCATTGACTTGGTGGGGATGAGTTGGCCTTCATGTTGCCCCACTTCTTGGTGATCCACCTTCTCTTGACTGTGGGATCTTGTTGCCACTTCCTTGCATTGTCCTGTGTTGCATCCCAGGATTGGTGGGCAGAGGAGAGGAAGGAGGAGTAGCTTTGATGGAGAAGGGAGAGGAGGTGTAGGCGGAAAGAGGGGCATGACTCTTCAAGAACACTGAGCCACATGTGCAACCTGAAGGCATTGCTGCTGTACTTGATGATCTTACTTCCTGTCCATTTTGCTTGAACACTTGTGTGCAAGTTGTGAGGCATTTGAGCATGAAAAGACAAGGCAGGGGAGGAGGGAGAGGTATGAGTGACTTGCTTTAGACATGTTGGTTTTACGCCAGGCAGGTAAAAGTTGTGGTAGTTGACCAATTCACTCCACAGCTGCTTCATGGCCTCCACCTGGCGTTCATTCTTGATGGGTTTGGTGTGTCTTTGTTGTGAAGGTATTGTGAGCATACAATGCAAGAGCAGGAAGACATGCATGAAAGCACCAAAGCTTTGTTGTGGAGGTACACATGAGGTAGTTTCATGTGGAGGACAAAATGAGTGGTCACCTTGGTAGTGCAACATGGCAATGTTCACTGTGTGCTGGATAGCCTCCTTGGTGCTGCATGTGTCCATGATGGTGACCAGGCGCCTCTTCCAATGATCAGCGAAGCCTGTTGACATTGAGTTGAATCATGTGATCACCTTTAGGTACCAATCATCTGCATCATGACAGAAGGAAATGGTGTATGTGCTAGTTTAGGCGTTCCCTTTGGTACCTTGATATTTGCATCTAGCACACACACTCTCTTTGCAAAGTTCTTCATCAGGTGGCCAGCACAGTAGGTTACAGCCACTGAAACATGCCCTGGGCATTAATGAGGGAGTGTGCAGCAAATTTGTGGTGGTGGGCGTGAGTACAGCATGTTACCAAGCAGATTTGCCTCACCAAGTTGGGATCTGGTGCGAGAGGTACCTGCACTCTGAAAGGCATGGTGGATCTTGCCATCATGGTCAGTGATGATGGAAGTTACCTGTCAACAGCTAATCTGTGACCCATTTCAAAGGCAGCTGTGTACTCCATGTTGGTTGAGGCACCAGTGTAATCCTGCCCATGGATGATGGTCTCAACGTCAAGAAGCTGTGTCCAAATATCATAGAATAAGATTGAGTTGTTGGGAGCTTTGGTGGGTGGCAGATGTTGTTTTGACCAGGAACAGTGGGTTACCTTGCCAGTCATCAGATCCTTCATGATGAGCACACAGCTGCCTGATTGTCTCTTTTCAGCCCACCCACCATCAAGCACGCCAAACCCTGACACATCACAACAAACTTGGGGTATTTAGCACACTGCCCAGAAGGAGCACTGCTGGTAAGGAGCATTTGAAGCACACATGCAAGGCATACAAATCTCCTTGTAGCCATTTAGGCCACACATGCTGCGATTGTTTGCAAGAACAAGACTGGCTAAAGACTCTGCTGCCTGACCAAGTTGAGCTGTGCATGAAGTGTTTGCGTGTTGCATTTGTCACACACCAGGTTGTCACTTGGATAAGAGAAGGTGTATTGCATCAGGTAAGTGGGTGAGGTGTGACAGTACCCTCAGCTTTCTTCCAGGTGTGCTGTGAGATGGGTGGCATGTCAAGCATGTTGAGGAACCGAGAGGTCTGCCTTTGTCCACCCTTGGTCATCAGCACTGCCCATACCAAGTGCTGTGGTGATGTTAGGTCATTGGAGGAGGCTGGTAAAGGTGTTTTTGTGGGTGAGCATGGTGATGTGCACTTTCTGAGTTGCAGATGGGGCAGGTGGGTGGGATGAGGTACCTGTGAATTCAAGTTTTGACAAGTTGCTCCTGCACTGTGTGCAGGTGATGGTGGTGCCAGTTGTGATGGCGCTGACCTCTCTGAGCTGCACAGACAAGGGCCCATGGCAGGTCAAGCAATACTGTTTGGCATATGCCTGCTGTGCAATGTGCAAAAGCAGGGCTCTGCTGATGATGGTGTTGGCCCAACCTGTGGTCATGGGAGCAACCAAGGCAGGGGCTTCAGTGCTGGCACATGTTCAAGGTGTGAAGTGAGTTGCTTGGTCTGTGTGACTCATGAGAGAAAATGATGGTGGAGGGAGGGAGATTGGCGCAAGCAAAGAGAGAGAGAGAGAGAGAGAGAGATA